TGTCTGGTGGTGAGTTCTTGCTTCTGCTTTGATTTAAGCAGCAGTTCCTTTATTTGTTAAGCTGTATTTCTTTGTGTGTGTGTTGTAAAGACAGAGTCTTATTAAATTACCCAGGCTGAGTTTGAATTTGAAATCCTCCTGACTCAGCCTCCCAGAGTGCTGGGATTACAGACATGTGCCATCACAACCAGGTAAATTGTTCCTTTATGACTTAACTGTATAACATAACTTAACCTATGTTAATGGAAAACAAGTACAAAACTGTTTTCAACTGTATCTTATCAGACCATAGTGCAATTAAACTGGAAATCAGTAGCATAAGAAACTGCAAGAACTTCACAAACACATGGAAATTGAATAACACACTGCTGAGCAAACACTGGGTCACAGAGGAAATTAAAGAAGAAATTAGACAGTTTCTACATTAAATGATAAGGCCAGTACAACATACAGGAATCTAGGGGACACAATGAAAGCAGTTCTATGAGGGAAATTATCCATAGCATTAAATGCCCATACTAGGAAAACAGAGTGAGCTCAAATAAATAGCCTAATGCTTAACTTTAAACTCCTAGAAAAAGAAGAGCAAGACAAACCAAAAGCTCATAGAAGGGAGGAAATTATAATGATCAGAGCAGAAATTAATGCAATGGAGCCTAAGAGAACGATACAAAAAAAATCAACAAATCAAAGAGTTAGTTTTTTGAAAGAATAAATAAAATTGATGAATCCTTAGCCAAACTTATCAAAAAAAGGAAAGGAAAGGCTCAATTTCGTGCAAGTAGGAATTAAAAATGTGAAGTCACAACAGATCCACCAGAAATCCAGAGGATCATCAATAACTACTTGCAAAACCTATACTTTAATAAAATGGAAAATACAGAAGAAATGGACAGATTCCTAGATACATATGAATTTCCAACTTTGAATGAAGAAGATATAAAAAGTCTACATGTTCCAATTACATTCAGTTAAATTGCAAATGTAATTAAAATATTACCAACAAAGAAAAGCCCGGGTCCTGATGGCTTCACTGCTGAATTCTACAAGACATTTAGAGAAGAGCTATTGCCACTACTCTTTAAACTCATCAATGAAATTGAAAGGGAAGCAATGCTTCCAAATTCATTCCTTGAAGCAAGTGTTAGTTTGATTGCAAAACTAGGGAGAGGGCTGAGGATGTCGCTCAGTAGTTTTGCTGCTTGCCTTGCAAGCACAAGGACCTGTTTCAATCCCCAATACCAAAAAACAAAAAACCAGGGAAAGACCCGACCAAAAAAGAGAACTACAGGCCAATCTTCCTAATGAACATAGATACAAAAATTCTCAATAAGATACTGGCAAACAGAATACAGAAGATCATCAAGAAGATCATTTACCCTGACCAAGTCGGATTTATCCCAGGGCTGCAAGGATGGTTCAACATATATAAATCAATAAATGTAATATATTATATTAACAGAGTCAAGGACAAAAACCATATATGATCATCTCAATAGATGCAGAAAAAGCATTTGACAAAATTCAACACCCATTCATGAATAAAAACCCTACAGAAAATTGGAATAGATGGTCTTTATCTCAACTTGATAAAGGCTATCTATGAAAAACCAACAGCCAATATCATACTAAATGGTCAAAAACTGAAAACCTTCATGCTAAAATCAGGAACAAGACAAGGATGTCCATTATCACCACTCCTGTTCAATATAGTTCTAGAAATATTAGCCACAGCAATTAGATGAGAAAGAAATTAAAGGAATAAAGATAGGAAAGGAGGAAGTTAAACTATCATTATTTGCTGATGATGTGATACTCTCCATAGAAGACCCAAAAAACTCTGCCAAAAGACTTCTAGACTTAATTGACACTCAGTAGAGTAGCTGGATACAAGGTCAACACTCAAAAACCAATAGCTTTCTTATACAAAAATAGCAAACTCACTGAGAGAGAAATTAGGGAAACAATTCCTTTCACAATAACATCCACAAAAATGAAGTATCTAGGAATCAGTCTAATGAAGGAGACAAAAGACCTCTATACTGAAAAACTACAGCACTCTGAAAAAAGAGATAGAAGAGGATATAAAAAGATGGAAAGACATCCCTTGCTCCTGGGTAGGAAAAATCAACATAGTGAAAATGGCCACACTTCCAAAACTGCTATACAGATTCAATGCAATCCCAATTGAAATCTCATGAGTATATTTCACAGAACTTGAGAAAACAATCCAAAAATTCATTTGGAACCAGAAGAGATCTAGAGTAGCAAAAGCCATTCTAGGCCACAGAGACATGGCAGTGGGTATCACAATCCCCAACTTGAAACTGTACTACAAAGTCACTGTGATAGAAACAGCATAGTACTGAAAAGAAACACACCCAATGATCAGTGGGATAGATTAGAAGATGCAGAAACAACACCAGACATACTCAGGTGCCTCATCTTTGACAAAGGAGCCAACCATCCTCACTGGAGGAAAGATAGCCTCTTTAATAAATGGTGTTGGAAAAACTGGCTTTCAACCTGCTAAAGATTAAAACTAGATCCCTATCATTCACCATGCACTAACCTAAAATCCCTGGATTAAAGATCTAAATATCAAAACAGAAACACTAAATTTACTGCAAAATAAATTAGGTAGAACTCTCTAAGACATTGGCATAGGAGAAGACCTTATGAACAAAACCTCAGCAGCATGGGAACTTGCACAAAGAATCAACAACTAGGATCTCATTTTATTTAAAAGTTTTTGCAGTGCAAGGGAAATCACCAACAGAGCTAAGAGACAACCTACAACATGGGAAAAAATTTTACCACCTGCTCCTCAGACAAAGGACTATTATTTAGAATATATAAAGAACTAAAAAAAAATCAGACCCTCCAAATATAAAGACCTGATTCAAAAATGGGCATCCATCTGAAATGAACAGACATTTCTCAGACAAACAAGTAAAAGCAGCAAATAAATATATGAAAAAAATGTTCACCCTCACTGGTCATTCAAGAGATGCAGATGAAAACAACACTGAGATTCCACTTCACCCCAGGAAGAATGGCTGCTATCAAGAAAGCAACCAATAACAAATGTTGGCAGGGCTGTGGGGAGAAAGGAACCCTTCTCCATTGTTGGTGGGAGTGCAGTCTGGTGGGACCACTGTGGAAATCAATATGGAGATACATCAAAGAACTAGGATTAGAGGTCCCACTTAACCCAGCTATCCCTCTGCTGGGTATCTTTCTAAAACAATTAAAAGAATCATATCACAGTGATATATGTGCACCCATGTTCACAGCAGCATAGTTTGTAATAGCTAAAACTTGGAAAAAGCCCAGTTGCCCATCAACTGGAGACTGGATAAAGAAGATGTGGTTTTTCTATGAAATGGAATACTACTCAGCCATAAAGAATGATAAAACTAGAGACATTTATAGCTAAAATGCCCAATGAGGCTATACTTTTAAGTGAAATAAATAGTGCACACTTGAGTAAATGCCAAATAGTTTCTCTGGTGTGAAAAATCAAAAGCGTAAATAAGGTTCAAATGACATAATCGATAGTGTGAAATAGGGGGAAAATTGTTAAAGGGGAAGTGGAAAGGGGAGGGGAAAGGAAATAAGGGGAAAGAAAAAATATGAAAAAAGGAAAAAATGGAAACAAAGTCTTTGTAAATACAGAAGGGTGAAAGGGGTGAAGGGAGATCAGGGGTATGGGGAAAAAATAAGAACCAAGATGTATCATGTAAAGGTACAAGACCTCAATGATAAATGTAACTAACTGTATTGTTTGTTTTAAATGTACCAATAAACTTAATGGGGGAGAAACCTGTTTTCAGTGTGACTCCAGTTATATAGAATACTATGGAGAAAATGATCAACAGTGATTGTCTCTGGGCAGTGACAATGTACAGGGATTTCTACTTTTTTTCCTTGCATAGATTGCATCTTTCAACTTTTTTATATTTAACAAATATGACTTTTAAAATAAAAGCAGAACTATCAGCTGCCCATTTCTGAATCTTCAGTTTTCATCTCTGTACAGAACAGAGTCACTTGGAGGAAAAGAAATTTCTCTCTGCCAGAAAGACCCAGGAAGGAAGACACACACAACTGAAATCCATATGAGGCAGCCTCCACAGGTTCCTGTCATCTGTGCAATGGTAAGGTCGTAGGGGGCTCAGGTGATGGCAAGCAGCCCTATCCAGAGCACCCCAAAAGCCACCCAGTGCCTGCCTGCTAGAAATTGTGTATAAGAAAAAGAGGTATTACTATTTAATGATAACTATCACTTTCAAATTCTTTTTGTCATACAGTTGTGTTAGGGACTTAGTGTGCATAAATCCCGAAGTTTACAACAATACTATAAGGTAGATACTGTCAGATGGGCAAATGCTTATAATCCCAGCACTCTGGAAGGCTGAAGCAGGAAAAGCAGAAGTTCAAGCCCAGCTTGGCAACTTCGCAAGAGCCTGTCTCAAATATTTTTAGAACATTTTTAAACGTGTGGGTGTATAGTGCAAAAGCCTTGAGTTAATTCAATCCCAGACCTGGAAAAAAAAAAAAAAGATTGTTTTTTCACCCTTGTTTTAGTGATTATCTGATGACCCACCCAGATCTGTGATGTGAAAGTCTCTGGCTTCTATTCTCCACACAGTTTACAGTCACTCGTGCCCATCTATTGTTTTAGTCTTGTGACAACCATGTAGAGTGGTGGCTCAGAGTGCGCATTTTATTTCCCTTAGGGCACACAGCTAGTAAGAAGTCATTATTCTTAAAGATAACTTATTTTTCTCCTTAAGAGAAAATCTTTCCCTTTACTCCATCCAAACACCAGTCCACTGTGTCCTCCCAGGACATATTTATCACCTCTGGCGTGAAGGTAAGGCAAGGTTGGACATGACTCAGAGACTGAGAAATGTCTCCTCCCCAGGGTGGAGCGAGTGAGCAAGCAGGTGCCGCAGAAATAACTTTCACATTTTCTCCTCAGAGATAAGAAGAAGAGTGGAGAGCAAAGCTTAAGATCCTGAGACCTTATCAATCTCATCTGCGAGCTCTGCAGACACTTGCACCCGTGCCCCGGCCCTAAGGGAGACCACCTTCCTTCTAGCTGCTTTGGAGTCAGCATTCCGGGATCTTCTGTCTCCGGCCAGTTGGGAGAGAGAACGTTTCCTCCTGTGCTTTTCCCAGCCCACAGGAGCGCAGTCTCCACACCCCTTGAGTCTCACGGGTGTGAAAGCTGCTAATGTCACAGCTTCCCGGGAGCCAGAGCTTTCTCAAGCCTGTCTTGCAAGGTGGGTCTTTTTCTCAGCAGAAGGAAGAGGGCAGTGAAGCAGATGGAAATGCAAGCAGGGGAGGAAGAGAGGGAGGAGGAGGAGGAGGAAGCTGAGGGGCAGTTGGTGAGTCAGAGAGCAGCGCTCAGCCTGGCAGGAGTGAGCTTCTCTCTCAACAGCAGGGCTAAGCCTAAGCCCCTCGCCAGGTAAGGAAAGGATTTCTCTGGGTCTACTTGGCACGCAGGGCACACTCCCCCAGGGCTTCTGGAGGAGAGTATCAGGTGACCCCCCGCGGCTAAGCTAGGGTTTCCATGGCTGGCAGGGAGGGTGGGTAGTGAAAACAGGGATGAATCTGAATCACCCGAGCAGTCTTCTGGGAAAACCCAAGCTGCCTACCACCAGCTCCCCCGCCTCCAGTAGCCCCATCCTTAAAAGCTCCAAAGAGCCTGCAACGGGGCAGGATCGTCCTGATGGACATTTTGTAGAGGATTCCCTGGTACATCTGATCCACTTGGATCAGGCCTTTGGATCAAGTTTCTGTACTTCCCACAGTGTCTCCCTGCTCTGTTGGAAGAGGAAACAGGGTGCGGGGAGTTGCAGGTTTTCTCTGGCTCAGGTCGGGTGTAGCGTGAATACAGAAAACTCTCAGACCTGGCATCCCAAACATCAGGGTTCTGACCCAGGCGGAGCCAATAAATCCACCAAAGTTCAGCTGATTTATTTTGAAAAATTTTAAAGTAGCTCGTCACGATTTTAAATGTGGCGAATAGATTGTTTTCATGACTGCTCCTTGAAGGACTTTGAAATTAAAAAACATCACGTGGATATAAATTATGATTCATGAGGCCAGAAAGTGTAACTCAGGAAAAGTAGAAGGGACGATATCAAGTGCGTTGGACAAGTTTGAAACTTCTAATTAAAATATTTTATATCTGTACAATAAAAATAATACCTTGCCAATCTTTATTCCTGAGTCAATGATAGTACCTCAAACAAGAAAAAAACATCTCTACAAATGTTTGTTCCCTCAGTCACCGATTGGCAGGTAGATGCTACTTGATTCCTTTTATGTGCTAGATACTGTGCTTGGGGGTAGGAACACTGCGCTGGTGAGGCCCAGGTCTGGTCCTTCTGGTGCTCTCGGCCTACGTCACAGTTCATTCTAGGAACACCTTTCCCCAGAGCTGGGCTCCCCAAGTCTCCCAGGCCTACCCGCTACTTGTAACGAGGCCAATGTCCCCAGCCCAGCTCTGTTCTCTCTCAGTTTGTACAAGGTACCTTCTGCTATCTATAGTTTCTGGTTGCAGGGACATAATCTCAGCGGGGAACCTAAATGAAGAGGCTGTGCCTAGTTGTTGAAATCAGGGCTTCTCAAACTGTGACCTGTTTGGGTTTTTTTTTTCTCAGAATTTCCATTTTGTGTTTGTCAGTACCTACATGGCACTGATCTTGGGGATATCTCTTGGTGGTTTACTTACCTTCACTATTCTCTTGCTTGGTGGCTACTCTACAGATAAGGCAAGGAGAGGCTGATAAGGGCTGGCATTTTTGATCTCTAGTTTTCAAGGCTGATTATTTTCCAGCTAGGTCTTATTTTCAGGGAAAGAGGGAAGTAGACCGCCTATTGGAATGAAGATGATAAGGGCGCATTTTTGATCTCTAGTTTTCAAGGCTGATTATTTTCCAGCTAGGTCTTATTTTCAGGGAAAGAGGGAAGTAGACCGCCTATTGGAATGAAGGGGTCCTGTGGATATGACCCTGTGTGGCCATATCTGGTGTTCAGCACCTCACTTTCTGGCTGCCTTTCCCTTTTTCTCTGCTTTCTGATTGCTGTGGGGTGATCAGCTTTTTGGTACCATGGTGTACCACTGTGATGCATCTGCTTGGCCACTGGCCTAAACACTGTAGTCAGTCAACCATGGACTGACATCCGAGACCGGCAGTCAAATGAAATCTTTCCTCCTCTAAATTGATTTTCTCAAGTATTTTTCCAAGTGAGGAAAAGATGACTAAGACAAGCTCTTTTGGTTATCTTCTAACAATGACTATGCCTCTTCCCGTACTCATCTGATTACTGACTTCTTCATTTATTTGACAAGTGTTTAAGGAACCCTAATCACTTGTAGAACTGTTGTTCACTTATAAGCAAGATAAGACATTGCCTTTCCTTTAAATTACAGCAGTTCAGTAGGATGAGACACTCATGCACAGCTGTTTCCTACAAAGTGGGACTGATGCTAATGAAATGTTTGGAAAGGAAGAACATATTTTAGGAGGGAAGGTGGCCTGTAGGCAGATGCATGAAGGACCAGCAGCAGTTCCGCAAATGTCTCAGGCGCCTAAATAATAGGGCAGATTTGGAAGAACTGAAAAGTTGAATCTGGAGCTTAAAGTACAAGACAGGATGGGAATGGCAGAAAACCAAAAATCAGACCATCAAGGACCTTGTGCATGAGGCTTGGGGATTGGGTTTGGTCCTGTACCTATTGGAAGGTTACTGAAGAATTTTTAAGCAGAGCAATGGTAGACTTATGCTTTTAAAAGGTAGCTTTGGGCAGCAGTGGATGATGAGGAAAGCTGACAGGCAGCGAGGAAGGTACGGATCACAGCTGGCTAGAGATGAGCAAACTGGAAATGCTGGCAACGGGAGAGCCCAATGCAAGGGTGCAACTGAAAAGCTTCCTGTTCACCCCTGAGCACACGGTGACCCTCATCCCTCACTTCTGCCAGGGCCTCAGGAGCATCTGCCCCCACTTTAGTCTGCGTATGCCATGGTGGTCTGGCAGCCTACCAGGTGTTTGCTACAGCCCAGGGGCGAGGAATGGAACTGGCTTCACAAAAACATACTCTTTCTGGCTAGGGAATGTGCTTGTAAAAAATAAAACCAAAGAAAGAGCTCTGCAGGAATTCCTGAGACTGTGGACACCTAAAGCCTGAGAACAACTGGGGACAGAGTTAGGAGGCCCAGCTCCAGGCTGGGGAGGGAATGGGCTTGAGGCCAGGAGCAGTTGGCAGGCAAGGAGGGCGCAGTGCCATTGAGCCCCCGAAGGACACACAGTTGGCACGTAGCCAAGATGGAGGAGGGTGTCCTTGAGAAAGGCCTGGTTTCCTAATCCCCAGGAAATGTTAGCTTTTTCCTATAATGATTGTGAGCCCTGCTTATAAAATTCTAGCAGGCTCCTTATAATTCACACAGTTTAAATTCTCATTTCTCTCTCCTTTTTGCTCCACTGTTTCCTTGCTTTGTTCCAAACTCTTTCTCATACATTTCCTTAAGCAGAAGCTTCTTGCTCAGGTCACATCTTCCATCTCTGGGAAGTGGGAGTAGTGGAGCATCCTTGGGCCATGATCAGTAGTGGACTAGCTTTTTAATCATTCTATCTTGGACTCAAGTTTGAGGAACGAGGCTCTCTTATCTGGTTTTCTACTCCACAGGGAAGACTACTAGGCAGAAATTACCATCCATTGGCATTTCCCTAGCCCAGAATAAAGTGTGATTTAGCCATAAAGGAGAGATGATCTTCACTAGATGCTTTTGGCACATCCATAGGAAAAGCACTGTGTGATGAATAGCTGAGAAGAGGTTTTTCTACCACTGCCACCCAAAGCCTGGCTTGGCTCATTACACATTTCCCAGAAGGTTCAGGGAACTTCCAAGGGAAGTCCATGAGCCAGCAAAGTGAAAGCTTCTTCAGGAAGCAAGCTGTAAACTCCAGACTCATATCTGAGGCTGCTCAATTCCTCCTGTAAAATCCACCCTTGAATACCTCTGGTGCTGAAGTCACAGAACGTGGTTTGTGGCCAGTGTGAAGGCTGTCTGAGTGTTAGGTGTCAGACTGACACACACAGGCATGCTTTGACTCAGTGATCCCACACCTGGCCACTTACCTTCATGTGCAGTGATGTGGGAATGCAGAAGTCACTGCTGAAGCATTTGAAATAGCAAAAGATTGAAAACAACGTAAAAGCCCATCAATGAGGAAACTGCTGCAAGAAATCATATATCCGTACAATAGCATCTAAGTGGTAAAAAGGAACACTTCAAGGAAACTCTTGGAAGTATTTGGTAAAAAGTGCCCCAAGACATATTACAAGGGGAAAAAAATAAGGTGCAGAACAGTTGGGATAACTTGCTATTTTCTGTGTGTGTATGTTTTTAAGGAGGGAAAAAAATTAATACATATACATTGGAATTGTGTATACATAATGCAACCAAAATGATACATAAAAAATAGACTCAGTTGCCTGGCAGGGGCAAGTTGAGAAATGGAGAGGAGACAGGTACTGGAAGTAGGTTTTTCACTGTATACTGATAACAAAACACCAGCTAGGAGATAAACACTAGCTGTTTTAAACAGAAGTTATCAATTCAGCACCCAGTAAAATTCTTATGTTTTCTTTCCCCAGAAAAAGATTGTGACACCTTTTTTTTAAATGAGCCATTATCCTGGTTTACAACTAGTTCTGGAGATTTTCCAACCTGTGACTCTACGCTTCTCTTTAGACCTAACTACCTGTTGCAAAATTGTCCCTTCCTCTCACGCATGTTAAAGATCTGGGTGTGCCAGCACTCCCTCTCCTTCCTTCCTACATGTAGAATTTTAGGAAAGCCTCACTTTAAATTTTGAGTCTGTAGACTTGATACCCATGAGAGACACTTTCTAAAATAATTTAAGCCATGTACAATTACCTGGTAAAAACATTTTTAAACATTGGTGCTTTGTCATCAGGAAAATACTATGGATCTCTCTCTCTCTCTCTCTCTCTCTCTCTCTCTCTCTCTCTACTGGGGATTGAACCCAGAGCCTTCACATTCAGCTGCACACCTGGCCCTTTTAAAAAAAATTTGATTTTTAGGCAGCACCTCACTAAATTGCTAAGTTACCCAGGGTGGGCTTAAACCTGGGATATCCAGCTGCTGCATGCTCCCAGAGTGCTGAGATTACAGACACGCACCACCATGGCTTCTCCTCTTTATGAAAGCTAGAAGGGAGAATTTCTTAGGTATATGGTGAAATGCAAATTAGCACCTTGCTGCTGTTAGAATTTACACTATGTGCAGAGCTAGTGCATTTATGCCAGAAATTCCCCAAAAATTCTAGTATCATCTGAGAAACAAAGTTAAAATTTCCCTAGAATTACTCATGTAGCATGGAACTAGGAACTGTAGTCTTAGAAGAAGCAACCCCTGGCTATAAACGAAGTTAAACTTAGGCTTTCTACCAGTCTGTTTGAACCTTCATGTAAATTACAAAATGAAAACCTTTTCTTTATTTGATATCTAACAGTAAGAAAACCATCCTAATATGCTTTTCTGATTGGACTAAGACACTTTACTAGTACCTACAGAAGTTTTTTAAAAAATAATAAGCCTAGACATGGCATTTCCTGGGCTTGGCATAGTACGCAACCTGCTCGTACACTCATCAGGCCTCAGTAGGTTGTGTCAAGTGGTCAAGCATTCTGCAAACAGCTACACCATGGTAAAGAAAGGATCCCACTGTTACAGCTTTTACATTGGCTTGCCACATTTTCAGACTCATCTGGTAAGGAGGTAATGGCAGCCTAAAAACAAATTCAGATAATGTATGACCCACACAGACACAAGCTCAGCATTAAATTGGCTCCCTTGTGTCCTTCATCCCCCAGAATGAGACTAAACCAGAACAGAGCAGACAGCCAGTGCCATGGGCACTTGGCGGAGCCATTGAAAAGAATGCTAAAGCCAAGCAGTTTATAGCCTGCAGCCCTGTCTTTCAGGAGACTGAAGTAGAAAGCCCTGTGGGAGGGTGCACAAATGGTCCTGTGGCGAGCAGCAATGAGAAATGGCCTTGGGTGTTCTTTGATGGCTGGCTCCTCTCCCTTGGTTTCAGAAGGATCCCAAAACATTTAACCAAGACTGGGTCAGACTGAGATCGAGCCTTGCCTCCGCGGCCTCTGTGAAGACGGGCACTCTGCCGGAGGGGTGACACAGTGAAGCCCTCCCCTGTGTTGATCAGTTATCCTTGGGAGTCCCGTGGCCAAAAAAGCTCAGGAGGCATTCAAGACCCTAAAACATGTAAAATGCATTGGCGCACTAACTGCAAGGGAGGGGACTAACTGCAGGACTGTTCTGACTTTCTACATTGCTCCTTGGAGAGGATCAGGGAGAAGGTAGCTTTGGCTAAAAAAGAGATGCAAGGCAGATACCCACACAGCAGTCTAACTCAGCCCCTTCTGCTCGTTTTTTCAAGATCCTTCACTTCGGCACAATGATGTTGCCCAAAAAACTGCGGCTGCTGCTGTTCCTGGCTTCCCAGATAGCCATCTTCGCTCTCTTCTTCCACCTGTATGACAGCTCACTGCCCAGGAAGGAGCCCAGGCCGGTGCATGTGCTCATCCTGTCTTCCTGGCGCTCTGGCTCTTCCTTTGTCGGGCAGCTTTTCGGACAGCACCCAGATGTCTTCTACCTGATGGAGCCGGCCTGGCACGTGTGGATGTCCTTCACACAGAGCACTGCCTGGAGGCTGCACATGGCAGTGCGCGATCTGCTGCGCTCCGTCTTTCTGTGCGACATGAGTGTCTTCGACGCGTACACGGATCCCGGTCCTCGGAAACAATCCATCCTCTTCCACTGGGAACACAGCAGGGCCCTGTGTTCCCCGCCCGCCTGCAACATGTTCCCTCGGGACAAGATCACCTACCACGCTCACTGTAAGCTCCTGTGTCATCAGCAGCCCTTCGAGGGCGTGGAGCAGGCCTGCCGCTCCTACGGCCACGTGGTGCTCAAGGAGGTGCGCTTCTTCAACCTGCAGACCCTCTACCCGCTGCTCACCGACCCCTTGCTGGACCTGCACATCGTGCACCTGGTGCGGGATCCCAGGGCTGTGTTCCGTTCCCGAGAGCACACCACAGCGGAGCTCATGATTGACAGTCGCATCGTGTTGGGGCAGCTTTGGCAAAAGCTCAAGGAGGAGGACCGGCCATATCACGCCATGCAGATTATCTGCCAAAGTCAGATGGAGATATTCAGGGCCATCCAGTCGTTGCCGGAAGCCCTGCGGCAGCGCTACCTGCTGGTGCGCTATGAAGATCTGGTCCGGACGCCCCTGGTCCAGACTTCCCGGTTGTATAAATACGTGGGGTTGAAATTCTTTCCCCATCTCCAGTCTTGGGTGCACAACATCACGCGGGGCAAGGGTATGGGTCAGCATGCCTTCAACACAAACGCCAGGAATGCCCTCAATGTCTCCCAGGCTTGGCGCTGGTCCTTGCCTTATGAAAAGGTCTCTCGACTTCAGGAAGTCTGTGGTGATTATATGGATTTGATGGGCTACCTGCATGTTAGATCCCAGGAAGAGCAGAACAACCTTTCACTGGACCTTCTGTCTAGCTGGAGGCCCTTGGAACAAGTGTACTAGAGGCTGAGGAGGCTCCATCCCCAATGGTCCTCACCTCAGCTCCATCCCCTGGATGCTTCTGAGCCTTAACTGGGTCTCTGTAAATATGCACGTTGCAAAGGAGTTGCACCCACCTATGCTCAAGCAGAGGAAGCTTTGTGTTTACACTCTGGTCTAAAAAAGCAACTCAGGAACCTTATGCGAGCAGCAAGTTCCACCATGAAATGTCATGCTGCCTTTCTTTTCCTCTAGATTTTCTCTCTGTGCCTACCTTGGAGGCTGTTGGAGTCTGTTAGACACCAGGCAGTATTGGTGGATGGAGTAAACCCATAAACCTCCTTGCCTATATCTTGCCCAGTGGGAAAGGGGAGAGACAGTAAAAACACAGGGAAATAGGTCTCTCGCCAAAGATTTCACCATTCCAAAGACATGAACTAAGTCCCTAGAGTTTCCAGATTAAAGGAAGGAACTGATGCCCATCTTTGAGCTTGTGGTCACAGTCCTCAGTTATTACAATCACAAAATTTACTGTGCACAGCAGGGCAAGCTCTTAAACCCGGGGAGTGGCCAAACTCTATTCGGATGTCACTTCCCCTGGTGTTTTCCTGTCACACACAAAGACTGATCTGTGAAGCTGCCATCCACTATCAAAAATAAAATTCTGTTTGGAATATCCCCTTGTATACCTTCTAATTACTAATCATCTCCTTTTGGGGGACCCTAATCTAAGAACAGATCTTCTTTATAGATTTTTATACTTTTGCTATTATCTATCATCCATATATATTAAAAGAAATTAGCTCAGTGGCACCACGCCTGCTTCCCAAGAGCAAGGTCCCAAGTTTGATCCCTGGTACAAAAAATTGTTTTGCTGTAACAGTGTTTGGTGTCAGGTGAAGATCTAGGTCTATATCCTCTTAAGATTGGGTAGAAAGAGGGCTAGGGGTTTAGCTCAGTGGTGCCGCTGCCTTCCTCGAAAGCACAAGGTCCTGAGTTCAATCCCCAATACCCGCCCCCCAAAAAAGAAAGATTGGGCAGAAAGGCCCAGGGGTGTAGCTCGGTAGTGCCATGCCTGCCTGCCAAGTGCAAGGTCCCAAGTTTGATCCCTGGTACAAAAAATTGTTTTGCTGTAACAGTGTTTGGTATCAGGTGAAGATCTAGGTCTATATCCTCTTACGATTGGGTAGAAAGAGGGCTAGGGTTTAGCTCAGTGGGGCCGCTGCCTGCCTCGAAAGCACAAGGTCCTGAGTTCAATCCCCAATACCAAAAAAAAAAAAGAAAGACTGGGCAGAAAGGCCCAGGGGGGTAACTCGGTAGTGCCGCACC